AAGTGTGCAAAGGGAAACGGAGCAATGCGGTTTCCTCTCGTTTAGCACAGCAAACGGGGGAACCGGGAGCAGCACTCGGCGAGGGCGAGCTTGCGACAGAGCCCAAACCCCACGCGCTGCGAGGTCGCCCACAGGCGCCGGCGCAGAGCCCTGCCCGTGCCAACCCCCCTGCTCCAAAGCACAGCGACCCCCAGCACCAGGGGTGGAGGCCCAGCAGCCCTCTCTTCCGCACCAACCGCTTCCGTGTTTCCTCTTCCACCGACGAAAGTCGAAGCCATGGGAAGCAGCGATCCTTTCACGAAGAAACGAGAGGGTGCAACACGCACCTTCCACATTCGGATGCCGCGTTTGGAGAGAGACACGGAGCGACTGGAAGCAAGCCAAGGGGAGAACAACAAAAATCCCCAGCTGTCTACAAAATGATCTGCGAGGACAGAGGAAAGAACCAGCGTTGTTCAGTCTCCAGAAAACAGCTGAGATCTCATAATAGCCTTCAGATATGTAACAGGGACAGAATTACTGGGCTTGTGTTGCAGAAGGGGAGAGGATTTTTTTCCAAACATGTAAACTGAGAAGTTAAGCACAGAAGCAGACCGTGTAGAGGGCCTGTGAAATCCCCCCTCAATGGCATTTTTTAAGAACAAACTGCAAAAGCTGGGGAGTGGATCCTGCTGTAGGGTGGAGATGGAGAAGGTGACCTCTTAAACGTCCACTGAACCTCAAGCTTGGGGCAATGGATGTTAGAAAACCAGCTTGCACTGACAACTGGTGCAGCAAGAGCTTGCAGGAGGGAAGACCTTTTCTCTCCTAGGACTGCATAAAACATAGGGGTAGAAACACCCTCTCGAGCCCCCAGGAAAATATTCCAGTGTTCCTTCAGGAACGCTGCCAAGGTACAGAGGATCAGGTATGTGCAGACATTGCCACCGGCTGAAAGTGTATTCAGCTGCCAGAGAGCGCGTGTTGTTCCAGGACTAGCAGATAATCCAAATAAAAAAAAAGCACCAAAATAATCCCAAAAAATCACCAAAATCAATTGTTGCCAGCCATGGAATCAAGCAGCAGAACATCCTGGCAGAAAAACCTCTTCCATTTAGCCCTGCAGATAACTCGAGGTGGAAGCTTTCTGCTCTGCAGCCAAATACCCCAGAGCAAACCGAGGAACTGCCACCGAGCACCCAACCTACCAGCCCCCATCACAGGGCAGGACCCAGGAGACGACCGGACAGCAAGGGCTGAACGTAGCAGACTGACGGTGCAGAGGTGGCTGCAGAAACGACTCCCGGTCCCATCTCCACTCACACCTCATGACGAAAGTGAAGTGGAGGTACCAGCACGGACAAACCCTCTGAAGAGGCAGGCAGCAATACAAGCTTTCCTTCCCTCAGAGGTGGTTTGAAAGCTGCATCGTTAACCAGGAGCTGAAGGCGCTTTTTGGTTTCTGTAGATCCGAAGCCCCGTGAGTTGGCTGCCGCCATGCCTTCTAGTGGAACTCTCCAGGTTTTGAAGGGGAAGCTCTTCCTCCTCTGTCGGGTCACTGTCTTTTACCTGATTTGTTCATATAGTGTATGTGACATTTGGTTAGCTCATTCTGAAAAATAATTAACTGTTAGAAGAGAGACAAGTCTATGATATTAAAAATTAGAAAGCTCACTCATGACACTTGAACAGTGATTATTTGGATTTTAACAGAAATTTGGGTAAGAATGCAGAAGATACTTCTAACAGAGTATTTCTGAAGGGCCCTTGCTCTTGTGGAAGGGGAAATACTAGAAATTAAATCAGTTACATGCTAATCCTAGGGCTAATTAGAAACAAAGCCATCATTTGAAACGCCGCAGAAAACACAAGCAGCTAAACAATCGCCAAAGGGCAAACAAATCTGAAGTCCGTACACTTCTTGCAGTGCCTGTCTGTGCAGGCAGCTGGTATTTTGAGTATGTTTTTCTCCTTTAAATATCTTCTAATCTCATCTGCTGCACACAGCGCTATCACTGGGGCTTTGCTAAAGGTAACTCTCACTAACGAGAGCTGCAGACCCACAACTCGGGGAGACCAGGGTCCTCGCAGGAATGGGCAACACAGGCAGACCCTCAGCTCGAGGCCTCCTGGAGCACTCTCCCAGCCAGAGGCTCCCCCCCCCACGGGACCGAGCCAAAACTAGGTCATTTCTGCAGTCAGCAGCAGCGCATTACGCCCGTGCTGTCTAGACATGTTGAACAGGTGAGAGCAGAGGCTCTAACTGTTGAAGTCCTGATGACGTGCGAGTACAGGCTAACATAATGTCCACTTGGATCCCTATCAACATCCCTATACATAGCGTAGGGCTGCTGTTGTCAAACCCCTCAGCGGCTTTGGCCGTTTGGGAGTCAGCCAGGAGTTCAGGAGCACCGCTGGAGCAGGGGAGGGGGCAGGCTGAGGAAACAGCACGGTTTTCCCATTACGCTGTAAGCTCCTGTACCATCCCACTGGACTCAGCAGGGCAGCAAAGTGAGTTTTGCACGTGAAAATTATATTCCTGTTCCCCCTGTTAATTATCAATGATGCTGCCGAAGCAATGCTAAAACAATTATTCTGTTAAATAGTTCGAGCATCCTGCACAGTGCCACCGTTTAGGCATGTTTTACCAGAGTTTTCCATAGAAACCTCACTCAGAAGCCATCAGCCCTGAAGGTGACACCCAAGCAGCACAGCTACTACAACTGAGATTTCTCCCTAAAGAGATTCAAACCTTTCATTACAGAAAAAAATTACAAAGAGGTGAAATCTGGCACTAAACAGACAGAAAACAGCGATTGCATTACTGCACAGAGATCAGCTCGTTTGCAAATGCTGGCCTTCGCGGGAAGGCATGAACTTCCCCCCCTAAATCCGAGTCGTCTGCTGTGGCTTAGTGGCAGAGACCAGATCAAGAATAATCCTTGTACTTCCTTTTACTAACAGCTAAAAACTTCTGCATCTAAAGGGCTCTGGTAGTGGGTTGTTTCACCACCGATTTGTGTCTATAAATATAACTATACCTATGAAGCACAGATACATATTCTTTTCCTACTCAAAACCCACATCAAGGAAGTACCTGAGCAGCTCTCTAAACCACTGGTTTTCGCCCTGGCACACGGAAAGCCTCCCAGGGTCTGCAGACTGCCTTTCTTGAGCCCCGAGAATGTGAACTAAGAAGGTAACACAAAACCCCCGAAAATATCATTCACTTGGTTTATTTTGTACATCAGGTTTATAAATTATTCCCGTTAGGACAAGATCTGCCGTGAAAGTGAGCAGAGGAAGAGTTCTAGGCAGGCTGGTCAGTGAAGTTAAATTTGTTCACAACCAAGCGGTCACAACTGTTCACGGGAGAGAGAGGGACACCGCGACCTGTTGCAGAATCTGTATTGAGCATTTCAAGTTCACCTCAAAGCAGGGTCTCAGCGGACGGATGGCTCCAAAACACTCTAGCCAGCAATAAATTTCCTACAATAAACACAAAGCAGTCATTAAGCAGTGCTTCCCGCAAAGTGCTACAGCATCCAACACTACAGACAGATTTCAAAAGCCTCTGGTATCCGGGCAAGCAGCTTCTGTTGCAGAAGCCGACACAGACACAGCAGACCTCGAGTCTCTCTGGAAGGAATCACAGGCCAGCACAGAAACATCCTCTTTCTCTGTTCCTGTGGAGGAATATGCTCTTTCCAAAGGATTTATGCACAAAGACACATCAGAGCTCTTGCTTCAAAACAGAGAACATGTGCTGTGGTCTCAGGAATGTACCCATGTTCCTACTGCAGGCTAAGACAATGTTTAACGTAAAGCAATCCCCTACCAGGTCATTTAATTGCCTCTACACAACTTCAGCGCTTTCCCACTGACTCGTCCGAAGACATCTACGGTCACCCAAGATGCTACAAGCGCAGCTGACTTTTATGAAAAGCTTCTTTCATCCTTTGCTTACACCAAGGATCTGTGCGATACATATTTTGAAACCAGGGAAGACACAGTGAATTGTTTAAACTGCAACAAGTAATTCTCGAAAAAAATGAGTTACGAAAGTACTAACAATTTGCTCTGTGACTTCCAGACTCACTGATTTCCCTGTAAAACACTGTGTAGCTCGAGGGCAGGAATCTTACTTTCATTCAGCAACATTTAAATGTAATAGTTGTTTCATCCAGTCAGAAAAACAGTTTAGATCTTTATAGCTTCCTCTGGACCTTTTTCAATCAGCATCCTTTAATGCAAGGCAAAAATATCCTTAAGTCCCATCTATCTGAAACAAGGAATAAAAAAGTGCTAAGCCTGCCTACTACACAACTGTGTATTTAGAGGCCCAACAGAAGGTATCATCTAATTGCTGCTCTAGCTGTATGGATGGGCAGTCTTCTAGAAGATTCAGAACAGCACATTTCGTAGGTAATTAATGAAGGAAAAAAACAAAACTAGGAAAGCCAATCTTCCCAACGAATTTGTGGTACACAGTAACCAGCTCTGAACATTCAGCTTGCTTTTAACAGCAGTTACAAGGAACAGAAAGCAGTCTGAATTTGCCTAGCAGCAAAACTGGTCATGAGCTTGAAGGCATTCTACCCAGGATTAGCAGAGCTCTGCCAAAAGTTCCAAACTGCCACAGAACACTCGATTTGACTTCTCAAATTGAAGGCATTCTACCCAGGATTAGCAGTAAACAGCTCTGCCAAAAGTTCCAAATTGCCACAGAACACTCGATTTGACTTCTCAAGAACCACATTACGTTGTGAAAAATCCACTGCTTGCAAAACACACACTTGAAAAAACACATTCTTGGTAATATTTCATCCTTCTGGCACTCTGAAGCCCTGAATTATAAAAAGAAAAAAAAGCAGCCCTGAACAATCAAATTGAGCAGTTCTGTTTTGGACCAACAATGTGACGGTGCCCTGGACAAACGGGACACATCAACTGTCACACCAGCACTACATTACTCCCTAAAATAAAAGATGCACAAACAAAACTTACCGTTAGAGGGAAGCTTAGTCTTCAGTTTTGAACTTGCCACTGATGTAGGGGACATACTGAAGGACCAGCTTCCAATCTGTGAACCATATCAAACCAGTCCCAGCTACACCACCCCACGTAAGGAGGGTGGGAGTCCTGAAGAAGACACACACACGTGCGGGTAAACAACATTAATGCTCTGCTGTGAAAGATCTGGCAAACGCTCACGGTTAAGGCACCTGGAAAAGTAATGTCAACTGATAAAAAAGCCTGGCAAAAATCTTGAAAGAGTCTCACATACACGGAAAAGTATCAGTCGCTGGCAGGTGGGTAAAGATATTTTACAGGAAAGGGCCGATATGCTTTTATTTAAAAACCAAGTTAATAAAAGACATTTATTTGTTTAACTATTCTACCGCTATAGAATCATAGGTTGGGAAAGACCTCCAAGATCATCCAGTCCAACTGTCACCCCAACACTCCCAGGCCTGCTAAACCATGTCCCCAAGTGCCACATCCACACGGTTTTTGAACCCCTCCAGGGATGGGGACTCCCCCACTGCCCTGGGCAGCCTGGGCCAATGCCTGACCACTCTTTCAGGAAAGAAATTTTCCTAATACCCAATCTGAACCTCCCCTGATGCAACTTGAGGCCATTGCCTCTCATCCTACTGCTGGTTACTGGGGAGAAGAGCCCAAACCCCCTCACTCCCCCCTCCTGTCAGGGAGCTGTAGAGAGCGAGAAGGTCTCCCCTCAGCCTCCTCTTCTCCAGACTGAGCAGC